CTGATGAGATGAGTGGAGGACACGGCAATGTGATGCCACCGGATCCCTTAGCAGAGGCTAATTATATCAACAATCGGAATTTCAGCAATTATCGCTCCAATCCGGTGTCGAGTTTCTATCACCCGAATAATAGGAATCATGAAAATTTTTCCTATGGAAACACGAAGAATGTGCTCCAACCACCACCGGGGTTCAAGGTGGTTAATGGTGAGATTATCCAAGAGAAGAAGACGGACATGGAGAATATTTTGGCTACCTTCATGAATGAGACGAGAAATCGTTTCAACAAGGATGAAGAGAAATTGGACAAGATCGAGAACCATGTGACTCAACTGGCTACGACAATGGGGGCACAAATGAAGAATTTGGAAACGCAAATTGGCCAACTGGCCAAGGTCGTAGGGAGCCAGCACCAAAGGGGTCAATTCCCTAGCAATACGGAGTTGAATCCTAAGGAGCAATATCAAGCCATCCGTCTAAGGAGTGGAATGGAGTACGAAGGCCCGAAGATGCCAGAGGAGAAGGAGAGTGAGCCGAAGGGGAAAGAAAGCTTGGAGCTAAGCGAAAAGGAAGAGGATGTTCGTGATGAATTGGAGAAAGAACCGATTATCATGTCGAAAAAAGGGGCTGAGAAGCTTAAATCTACTTCTAACTCTAATTCTCATAAACATCCTGTTAATTTACCTTTTGCCCAAAGATTTCAAAAGAAGAATTTGGATGCTCAATTTGCTAAATTTTAGATATGTTCAAGAAAATTCATATAAATATTCCTTTTGCAGAAGCCTTGGAACAAATGCCAAATTATGCGAAATTCTTGAAGGATGTGATGTCCAAGAAGAGGCGAGTTGAGGATCATGAGATGGTGAACTTAACCGAGAAGTGTAGTGCGATCCTCCAACGCAAGATACCTCAGAAGCTTAAGGACCCCGGAAGCTTTACTGTGCCTTGCACAATCGGGAACATTTTCTTTAGCAAGGCTTTATGTGATCTTGGTGCAAGTATTAATCTTATGCCTTTGTCGATTTTCAGGAAGTTAGGACTGGGAGAAGTGAAGCCATCTACGGTAAACTTGCAATTAGCGGATCGTTCGATAACATATCCCAAGGGGATTGTTGAGGATGTGCTTGTCAAGATTGATAAATTTATATTCCCAGTGGATTTCGTTGTGTTGGATATGGAGGAAGATAACGAGGTGCCATTGATTCTAGAAATACCGTTTCTAGCAACGGGAGATGCCTTGATGGACGTCAAAAAGGGAGAACTTACATTGCGTGTTAATGATGAGCATGTGTTATTTTCTATATATAAGGCTATGAAATTTCATGATAATAATGCGCATTGTAATTTTCTTGATACTATAGATTCATGCATCTTGTCACATCTTGATCATACATTGTCTAGAGATTCTTTGGAATATGGATTGATCATGTCTTGTTCTCCTAATGATTCGATACTTGAATTGAATGACTCTAACTTATACGAATATGTGTTTTCTTTGGATACGCAGGAGGAAAGCATGTCGAAAGAGATTTTGAGCTTGGAGATCGAAAAGGAGAAGAAAAGATGCAAAAGTAGGCTCTGTAGGGGTGACACGGGCTGTGACACGACCAAACAGCCCGTGTCACGTTGTCGTGTTACAAAGCTGGAAGTTGAAGAAGCAGCCCAGACCCAACACGACCTGCGACACGGGCCTTGTCACGTGGTCGTGTCAGGTCATCAGAGAGGGGCAATTGACCAGGGATGTGACACGGGTCGTGACACGGTCACATCGACCGTGTCGGAGGTCGTGTCAGGTGTTTCCACCCCTATTTCGCCCGATTCCAGTCCCTCAAAGCCCGACGTACCGACTATGGAGCTTAAACCTTTGCCGGAGCACCTCACATACGCATATTTGGGTGATAATTCTACATATCCGGTAATTGTATCATCGTTTCTTTCTCCTGAACAACTGGATAAATTGTTAAGGGTCTTGCGTACGTATAAGTCGACTATTGGTTGGTCTATTTCTGATCTTAAAGGTACTAGTCCATCTCTTTGCATGCATAAAATAAAATTAGAAGAAGATTATAAACCATTTGTGCAAAACCAACGACGCTTGAACCCTGTTATGCAAGAAGTTGTTAGGAAAGAAGTGCTTAAATGGTTAGATGCCGGGATTATTTTTGCGATTTCTGATAGTGAGTGGGTGAGCCCGGTGCAAGTGGTGCCGAAAAAGGGAGGGATGACAGTAGTAAAAGATGAAAAAGAGGAATTGATTGCGACTAGAATTGTAACGGGTTGGCGTATTTGTATAGATTATAGGAAATTGAATGCCGCAACTCATAAAGATCACTTTCCCTCCCCTTTATTGATCAAATGTTGGATCGTTTGGCAGGAATGGACTATTATTGCTTTCTTGATGGTTATTCGGGGTACAATCAAATTATGATAGCCCCGGAAGACCAAGAGAAAACCACTTTTACATGTCCTTACGGTACTTTTGCTTTTCGTAGAATGCCATTTGGTTTGTGTAATGCTCCTGCCACTTTCCAACGATGCATGATGGAAATTTTTCATGGGCTTATTGAAAATATTATGGAGGTTTTTATGGATGATTTCTCTGTTTTTGGTGATTCTTTTGATTCTTGTCTGCATAATCTTACTCTAGTCTTGCAGAGATGTGAAGAGACGAATTTGGTTCTTAATTGGGAGAAGTGCCATTTTATGGTACGAGATGGTATTGTTCTTGGCCACAAAGTCTCGTCTGAAGGATTGGAGGTAGATCGGGCAAAGATTTCTGCTATTGAGAAGCTGCCACCTCCTGCGAATGAAAAGGCTATTCGGAGTTTTCTTGGGCATGCCGGTTTCTATAGACGGTTTATTCGTGACTTTTCTAAAATTTCGAAGCCTTTGAGTCAATTACTAGAAAAAGATATTGCTTTTAATTTTTCTGCTGAGTGCTTGCAGGCATTTGAGACGTTGAAGAAAGCATTGGTGAGTTCTCCAATTTTGGTGTTCCCCGATTGGTCTCAACCATTTGAGATCATGTGTGATGCGAGCGATTTCGCTGTTGGAGCAGTGTTGGGCCAGCGACGTGATAAGCTTTTAAGAGCCATTTATTATGCGAGCAAGACACTTGATGGAGCCCAACAAAATTACACAACCACAGAAAAGGAGATGTTGGTTGTTGTCTATGCCTTGACAAATTCTGTGCTTATTTGATCGGCACCAAGACGATAGTGCATACGGACCACGCAGCAATCAAGTATCTATTTGACAAGAAGGATGCTAAGCCACGCTTGATTCGGTGGATTCTCTTACTACAAGAGTTTGATGTTGAGATTCGGGATCGTCGAGGTTGCGAGAATGTGGTGGCGGACCATTTATCGAGGCTTGAGTATAAACGGCAGGAGGCCGATACCACCAGTGATATTAAAGAGGAGTTTCCCGACGAGCAACTCTTAATGGCTGAGGCAAAATGTCCTTGGTACGCCGACATCGTCAACTACTTGGTGGCCGGAGTCTTACCCCCGGACTTGTCATTCTATCAGAAGAAGAAATTTCTCCACGACGTGAAGTTCTATATGTGGGATGAGCCTCTTCTCTTTAAGAGGTGTGCCGATATGATCGTTCGACGATGCGTTCCACAAGAAGAATGGGATGGAATTCTTCAGCAGTGTCACTCTTCACCGACGGGAGGCCACTTTGGAGCAGTTCGTACTGCAACAAAGGTATTACAGAGTGGTTTCTATTGGCCGACCTTATATAAAGAGTGCTATATTTTTGTGAACCAGTGTGATCGATGCCAGAGGATGGGCAATATTTCTAGACGCCATGAGATGCCTATGGCGAATGTGATCGAGGTCGAGTTGTTCGATGTTTGGGGGATTGACTTCATGGGTCCGTTCCCTTCCTCATGTGGAAACCGGTATATATTACTTGCAGTTGAGTATGTCTCTCGTTGGGTGGAGGAAATTCCCTCGAGCACCAATGATGCCGCTGTTGTTCTCAAGTTTCTGAAGAAAAATATTTTCACACGGTTTGGGACCCCAAGAGCCTTGATCAGTGATGGGGGTTCTCACTTTGTGAATAAATTAATGGAGAAGCTTCTTTCGAAATACGGCGTCAAGCATAAAGTGGCCTTAGCCTATCACCCGCAAGCGAATGGGCAAGCAGAGGTGGCGAACCGAGAAATCAAGCATATATTGGAGAAGACGGTGAGCACAAATCGGAAGGATTGGTCGTTGAAGCTCGATGACGCACTTTGGGCCTATCGCACGGCCTATAAGACACCACTGGGATCATCTCCATACCGGCTTGTTTTTGGTAAGTCGTGTCATCTTCCGGTTGAGTTAGAGCATCGAGCTATGTGGGCTGTGAAGAAGATAAACTTTGATTTTCACGAGGCGGGTAAGAAAAGGCTTCTCGATTTGAATGAGTTGGAGGAGTGGCGTGATGAGTGTTACGAGAATTCGAGAATTTACAAGGATCGAACGAAAAGGTGGCATGACCGGATGATCCACAAGAGAGAATTTTTTCCGGGAGAACAAATCCTTTTGTTTAATTCACGATTGAAGTTATTCCCGGGAAAATTGAAGTCGAGATGGTCGGGGCCTTTTGTGATTAAGAAGGTGTTACCACCGGGAACAGTTGAATTGGTTGCACGAGACGGCGAGACCTTTGTAGTTAACGGACAACGGATCAAGCACTACTTTCATTCGTACCAACATGAGAAGTCGTCCTACATCACTTTGAAGGAGCCGTGATTCTTACAGGCGTCTGGCTGAAGACGTTAAACGTAGCGCTAGTTGGGAGGCAACCCAACGGTTTTATTGCTTTCTTTTTATTTATTGTAGGATAGTTTTGTTTGTTTTTAATTTTTTTTTTTTTTAAAAAAAATGCCCAGGTGCGTGACAC